ATCCTTCTGGACTACTAATACATTAGTATCATCGGCATAACACACCATATGTATATTAAAGTTGTTAGTCATGCTGAGATATCTTATGAGATCATTTGCATAAACTACATAGAGATATGGTCCCAGGTTCGAACCTTGCGGAACTCCTTGAGGTATGTGTATGGTATCTGAGTAGGACTGATTGAGTTACACGACTTGCTTTAGATTGCTTAGAAATGACTCTAGAAGGTGCAGGGGTACTCCCGTGACACCATATCTCGATAACTTAGAAATCAGTAGTTTATGATCGACGTCCAGAAATAGCCTCATCACATATTTGTTGTTGTCCAGATGTTTCATTACATGGCTCTGGAATTCACAGAGAGCAGATTCTGTGCTTTTCTTTTTAATGAAACCATGCTACGATGACGAAAGCAGATTATATTTGTCGAAGAAAGCATACAGCTGGTTTTTCATATTCAGCTCAAATGCTAGAAATAATGCTTATTGATCTATAGTTATTCAGATCAGATTTTGGTTTTTCTGAAAAAATCCCCTTTTGTGCTGATAAGTTCCGACAATTCAAAAATCGTCGGAAAATAAATAAATTCTTGTTAAACGATTTCCTCTTCAAAGATATCCATCTCACGACAAAAATCAGACACGCTTTGTATCAGATCACATATTAGTTTTAAACTATTCTCAGTACAAGACATACTAACCTATCCTAACAAATGGCAGAATTCAACATCTATACACACACAAAGCATTTGTTAAAAAAATCATTTTCATGTGGCTTCTAGCCATAAAAAACCGATCTCAAGTTTTTCATTGAATTCTCAAGTTTACTAACATAGGTCAGTTCAATATATATTTTTTTTAATGACTCATTGAATTAGACTCACGCTAGGCTATTATAGCCTGTTTTGTGATGTCTAAATCAGAATGTCATTCGTACAATTGTATGTCTTATGTAATTGTATACAGATGGCATATACAGTTCACTTACATTATTTATGATTATACATATACATACATATCATTTTAAAATTCCAAAATTAGCATTCGAAAGAGACTGGACAATTTGAACATTTCGATTGGGGTATAACCTAACCTCAAACTTGGTGTGGTATTATTTAAGTTTCCGGTAGTGTATGTGAAGAGCCTAGATACACAATATATAGGAACAATTAAGGAAACAATTAGCCAGAAACTTTCAATAACTTGACCTTTACGTAGCCAACGAACATTGTTATGTTGTAGTCAATCAGAAAACGCAGAATCACATTCACAAAGGAACTTTTTGAAATGTCGGCGCTAAAGAGCAGAATGGGATCTCATGAAATAACTGAGTCATACAAAAAAACACATATCCCCGTTCAGTTTGTATCTCTCGTCAAATCAGCTTACATAAACTCATTGATTTATGAGAAAAAAAGGTTTCGGCCTTCTAGATCTCCATCTTCATACAAGAAAACTATCTCTCCTAAAAATATACCTCATTCAATTCAAACTCATTGATGTTTCGTACAAATTCCTGTAATGGATGACTAGTTTATTTTGTAGAAATTCATATCACTTCAATGAAATGAATTTAAATATTTCTGTCTAATTTCCACTTGTTATTTTATTTTCACGACCGGTTTTGAGTTTTATTCCATTATCAAATATGAATACTAACTAATACAATTCAAATCGTAAAAAGTAGTTATATATGGAGTTTCTAGGTAGGTGAGCTGGATAGGGATGTAATTAAATAAACAGGGGTGCCAACTATGAAACTTCAACAATGGAAATTACAGAAATCATTGAGTTATAAAACTTGTGAATTCAAGAGTTCAAGTTCAAGAAATTCAAGAGAAATCGAGTTGCTCGTTTAGGATTTCATACTGAAGGTTTCTAATTCATTCATTAATTTCCATGGCTTGCAACAAATTCATTTTCTTTCCTTTATTACATGTGTGTCTGTTTGGACAAAACATCCACAATTTATGAACATATGCAAGATTCAGAACACAAGATGAGTGAAGATAATTCCAAAATCATAGACACATGTAATAAAGGAAATAAAATGATTTTTTTTTCTTGAATTTATGAATCTGACAACCCGATAATTTCTGTCATCGCCAGTAATTGTGATGCACTGTTTGGAAACTTTGGTGCAGTAATGAATATCAATGGAGTTTTATCCCAACACAAAACCATTATTTGTAACACTTCGTCACGTATTTCATTCACCAAGTGATAATCTTCAAAAGGATGTTCAATCTTCATTCAAGAGGAAGTTCAATTTTCATCTTAAAGCTAATTCCAAAACTCTACACACATGTTATAATAGGAAGAAATTGAATTTTTTTTTGAATTTATGAGTTTGACAACCCGATAATTTCTATAATTTCCAGTTCTTGTGATGCACTGTTTGGAACCTTTGGTGTGGTAATGAATATTACTGGAGTTCAATCCCATGACCAAACCGTTATTTTCAACACCTCCACATGTGTTTCAATCAACAAGTGATCACCTTCAAGAGGAATATCTTTCTTCAAGAGGAAGTTCAATTTTCCTCTTGAAGATTGGACTTCCTGTCGAAGATGATCATTTGGTGATTGAAATACATGTCGAAGTGTTCATCTTCAACAGGAAGTTCAATCTCCAAGAAGAAGATTGAACTTCCTGTGGAAGATGATCACTTGGTGATTGAAAAACGTGTCGAGGTGTTCAAGAGAAAGTTCAATCTTCCTTTTGGACATTGAAACTTCCTGTTGTAGATGATCACTTGGTGATTAAAAACGTGTCGAGGTGTTCAAGAGGAAGTTCAATCTTCCTCTTGAAGATTGAACTTCCTGTTGAAGATGATCACTTCGTGATTGAAATATGTGTCTTTAGATGCAACCAACTGATCTTCAGCCTTTTCCATTTCAGTGAATGTTCACACTATATTGTATCATTCTGGGAATGACAACCTTAGATCCAAAGTGAATCGGCCTATTTAACCCTCGACTACAACCGGAATGAAGACCTATTATTATCATTATTATTCAAATACTTTCCCATCCAGCTCACCTACGATCTCCCTTTGTAACCACGCTCTTAGATTTCAAATGTATTATTTAGTTTTCATAATTGATAAAGGGATAAAACTAACGGAGGTCGCTAATATTGTGTGAAGGGTATTTTCTAGTTGCTAATTTCATGAAAAAAAGTTAAGACAAACATACGCAGTGGCAAAATTTTTGGTCAATAACGTTACCTGAAACGTGTCTCGATCAAACAAANAAAGTTAAGACAAACATACGCAGTGGCAAAATTTTTGGTCAATAACGTTACCTGAAACGTGTCTCGATCAAACAAATGAAACTTTCATCACTAGAAATAACACGACCAAATTTCACCAAAATTGAATAAGGGATATTTACAAGATCAATTAAAATTGCAATTTTCCAAAAATTCAACAATTTTTTGGGAATAATTCACTTCTGGGCCTATGTTTATATGTTTTTCATTTGATCAGCTCCGCAATTGGAAAATACCCTGTATACAGACTGAATACATGTCAATTAATGTGTAGTTCATTATTTATGTAGTTGATGTTTTGACCTATATATTTTATTTTCACCAAAGATCATATTATTTATTATTTAGTCAGTGAGTCATTTGTTTCAGTGATATGAATTAAGGGGTAACTTTTTGGAAGAAAACTTTTCAGTTTGCCTTTTATTACACCTCGGCATATTCATAAAACTTTTTATTTGATGGTTCCATACAATTACAACCAATCAAAAGGCAATATTCAATATCTACGCACGGAAAAGCAATCTCTGCATAGATATTGTGTAGACATCGAATTCTGAATATTAGATATTGGAAGTACGAACTAATGAAATTCACTATGCATCATCAACCAGCTTCGAACACAATTCATTATTATCATATAGTTTCCAGATAGTGGAGGGTTATATACCCAAAAATAGTGAGAAACAATGTATTGTAATTATTAGTTCTGTTCCACGCATAATTTAAATCTAGAGCATATATTGAGGAAACTAAAGATCTCTCCCATGAAGTATTGAGAGCATTTATCTGTATATCACAATTTTTTGAACGTATGTATATTATATTTTAATAAAGATAACATTCCAAATTGAATTTCATTGTTTCATCCAACCTTTCAGTACCTATTTCGAATGAATTTCGATTCGGTTGAAGCATGCGGAACGTTAATAACAAAAAACATTTAATTTTGTTCTCAGGAATATTCTAAATCAAAAGAGTTAATAGTGAGACGTCGAATTGAAGAATATGTGATTAATTTGCTTGGGATAAGATGTAACTGAATTCAGGTAAACAAAATCTAAGTAAAACAAAATGTTATTTCAACAAAGACTGGCTATAAATCAAATCATCTGAAGTAACAACTCGTTTACATCGATGACAAACCTGCTGTTTGTTGTCCGCTTCAGCCTAGTTTGAGGAATAATACTCTGAAGAAATTCGATTTTCAATTATCGGAAACCATCGACTTTATATTGATGATAGACACTGCCTTGCACTGACGAGTGGCTAAACAGCTCGAAACCTGTCTGCATGTGTGTTCCAATAATTGAAAATCTATTGCGGCAGTTATATCGCCAACAGCATATGCAGGAATAACTTCAGTGAAGAATCCTGCACTGACACCTGTCAGATTTAATCCAACGCCCTTCATGGTATTAGCCAGTGGAATAATTGTTTTCTGATAGTTGACAGTCCAATAACCTACAGTGTGGGGAGTTGAGACTGGCCTGAAAGAATTTTTTCTTTAGATAATTTGAAAACTGAAATTGATACTTGCAAGACATCTCAACTCGAAAGTTCTTCAATATCAATTGGAAAATAATAAGAAAGTTGAAAAAACAGGTGTTTCCATTGGTTGATATGAATTTAAATGGAGTAGATCAATATTTGCTCCCGAAACAATACTTGGTAGTGCGAGTGTATATAAAATATTTCAATTTTTTTTACAAAAAAACTGAAAACAAGCAGTTATCGATGAAACGATACCTCTCGTTTGATTGTTGGCGTTACTTCTCCAGTTTATCCGATACCCTAACCTTTATAAAAGTTTTCATTATATTTTCAACTTGGTGAAAGGTAAGAATACAACCTACTCACTTCAAGAGATCAATACATCTGTTGGCGTCGAGACGAGTGTTGAAATTTAAAAAATAACTTTGATGAAGAAATATAATCAAAATATAACTATTGTATATTTTTTATATATTCAACAACTATAATTCTTACTGATTTTTTTACGCTTTCGATATTTTGATTGAATTTCGCTGACATATTCAATGTATTTCTTCATCAAATGTTTTTTGTGTGAGAAAAGAATCAAAAGTTCATGTAGAAAAACTATTGAATCCATCATCAGGGCTATACAATAAAATAATTTCATATGGAATGGATCAACATGACAAAACATGACAAAACAATTCGATATACCTCTTTCATCTCCATATTTTGAAAAAACAAATACGGGGATAAAAAACACATGTCAAATTGCGGTATATATTGGCATGTTTTTTGTTTCCATATGGAATTATTCTGTCTCTAGAGCCCTCATAATGGGTTCAGTGAAGTCTGAAACGTTGGCAAACTATGAATTGTTCATCAATGAATTGTTTTCATTCCTTTCCCAACAAAAACAACGTTTGATCATATTGATTGGATCACCAAACCATTCGCATTCCATTATGGTATATTTTTCAGAACTGCGAAATGAGAAAAACTCTAATCCAAATGCTAATGAGAGAAGTTGATTGTTTTATGTGTGACGTCCAGTTGAATCCTCCTATTACTCAGTGTGCTTCAGGTCACCACTACTGTGCCAAGTGTACTTCTTCATTGACTGAATGTTCTAAGTGCCAGTTACCACTAGGAACGAGAAGAGCATATTTCTTGGAAAAATTATGTTTCAGAATAGTATTGAAATGTTCTTTCACAACAACTGGATGTTGTTTCATCGGATTATGCGGTGTTGTTGCTCAACACGAGAGGAAATGCCCTTTTCGCCAGAAATTTGTTTGGGCAGGCGTTAGCAATAACTCTACGTCCTTGGAAACTGCTTTTGAGCAGGATAGCACAGGCGCAGATGAAATTTCTTGTCCCATACAAGGTGAGTGAAACTAATTGATTCAAAATTTTTGCCTGGCTCATCAACTATCGCTGAAAGTTCCACTGTAAGTATTAATCCTTCAAATTGGATACATTAAGAACACATCCAGTTTGGAAAATCAGATTTCCTTGATGTTGTAGTTGGAATTTTTTCAGTTTATTAGAATCATTCGGAGTATTGTCTAATACGACAATACAGTTATTATCATGTTCAAAAAAATTATTTCAAATCACTTCTCAAAAGATTCTCCATCCATTTTCTCGTGGTAATCTCCGGTTTTCTTGGATTCAAGAGCCCACAGCGACTCTGAAACAGATCAGTGATCACTTCAAATGTGGTGAACTATCATCCTTCTTCCTTTTCCTGAAATCAAAAACCATTATTAGGCTCTAGTATATACCCAGACAAATAAACTAGGTCTAAATAACAGCCAGCTTAATTTTGCCTTGTAATGAAAAGCCTGATTATCAACTGTTTCAAATGACCCGATATAAAGGGTTGTCACAAAATTTCCTGGCCCAAAAAGAAAACACATAAATTATGAAAAGAACTGTATTTATTTTTCTAAATAATCTCCTTGCAGCTTTATCTACTTTTCCCAGCGATGTCCAATAGGTTAGGTTTGGTTAGATCTAAAGTGAGTGGACTATTCGACCCTCCGCCGCAACCCGCAAGGGTTTATTGTGGCGCACACCTATTCACACTCTACCAAATAAACCCAGCTTTTTAACGAAGTCTATTAGTTTGTATGGTGAGTGGTCTTTCAGGTCAGATGGTAAGAGTACGGCTCTACCAAACTCTAAAAACCCTATTCGGTCCCCAGCGGGGCAGGCACAGAGTATATGCTCTGCTGTTTCATCGTTGATGAGGTAGTCGGATAGTCAAGGTGGAAGATTCCCACCTTGATACCCGCGACAACCTTCCTATACGAGGGTTTTTGTACGTCAGCTACACCTGACGATGTCTTAGATTCAACCGTGTAGGGCTTTTTCGCCTCTGGTTTTGGTGAATCATCACTTGAGCACAAACTTTTGCTAACCTGCTCCTGGGGGGGTTTGTTCCTCCACCTGAGACAGATTCTGCGTACGCCGCTCAAGAATCTGGTGCAAGGCGATTTTATAAGGTACCCCGCTCCTGAGGAGACGACTCAGACATTTCCTGGCTGAACCACCAAATATTTTCTTCAGGTTCAGTTATCGGATCAAGAGTTGGGGAGATGAGAAGCTCAACATCTATCTCCTCTATAGACTCAGCGACAGAAAGAATTTTTGAGTTTACTCTGTCCATTGAAGACCCACGAGTAGCTAAGGAAAGAAGGTCAGTCACGGCAGAACCCCGCATTACCGTGACAAGGCGATACTACGACGAGAGGGCGCCCGATATTCTCGAAGATTCCGTAGAGACAGTTGATAGGCTCAGTGTCATTCATCCTCTCGGCACGGATACACACACCTCAGGATTGAGCCATCGTTAGGATGTCATTCAGTTAGGGAATAACAGAACCACAAGTGATTCTGTCATTCCCGTATCCAGCGGGGCTACGTGAAAGCAGGCATCCGATGGCCGGTTTGCTCAACCCCCACACCCCAAAGCCAATGCACTCGCCAGAAATAGCATGCACAGTGGTTCAGGCAGTGAAAGATAAACAAGGACAGCCAACCCACCAATGTTGAATAAGTTCGATATCGTTTTTGTTATAAGAACTGTTTTGCTTCTCAAAATAGCCATTAACTGTCGACATCACTTCTTCATCGTTGGAAAATATTTTACCATCAAACCATTTTTTCAAGTTCAGGAACAGAAATTGTTTCGAGGGGGCTAAATCTGGTAAATAGGGTGCCTGGTATAGCAAGTCAAACTTTAATTCGTTAATTTTTTTCATTGCGATAATGGATTTGTGAGCTGGTGCATTGTTTTGATGAAACACTTTTTCCTTAAACAAATGTGGCCGTTTCTGCTTACTTTTCTCACTCGAACGTTGCAATAAGTTCGCATGATACTCGCCGTTGATATTTCCAAGGTAGTTAATGGAAATTATCTGATGCCATGATCTTGCTTGCAGATGAAACGGTCTTCGCCTTCTTTGGAGCCGGTTCTCCCTTTTGAGTCTTCCGTTTTGATGGTTCTTTTGTATAGGGTGTAAAGTGGTGGACCCATGTTGCACCATGGTTATGAATCTACGCAAGAATTATGTTTTTTTGCTGTGAAACCTCGCTAATACTCAATTGAAACATCTTCACGATACTGTTTTTGCTCTAGTGTGAGCAAACACGATATCCATCTTTCACTCAGCTTCCTTATATCCAAATTTTCAGTTAATATACGACGTACCGCTATTTTTGAAAAGCCTACTGAGTCTGCTAGCTCGCGTACTTTCATTCAACGATCATTCAGTACCGCTTTATGGATTTTCATCACCGTTTCTGGACTCGTTACCTTATTTGGTCGACCACTGTGATGAACATCTTGGCAGCTCGTACGACCTCATTTGACTCTGCTACCCAATATTTTACTGTTGTAAACGAAGGAGCAGACTCACCAAGAGTATAATCCGGTTTCGCTTTCATATTGGTTGGACTGAGGCCTCCCAGTAAAAGTATTGTACCACATAACGATTACCAATTTTCTCCATTTCCACAAATTCACCGAAAACGTTCGCTACTGATGGCTGCCAAATAAATACTAAACAACGCAGCGTCTTCAAACTTGATACATATGCTTTATTGATTGTGTACTCTCTAATACTGTGAAATTTCTCAGAACACTACCGCCATCTCTTGGTCAGGCCGAGTACTTCTGGGACCACCCTGGTACTAACAAAGTCACTAATTGTCACTATTGGATGAGCTATTATGAATTATTGTGCACAATATATTCATTTCACTTCATTTTCTTCTAGGTTCATCAGGACAATTGTTAGACGAAGTGATTCTTGCTGAACTGGAGTGTTCAATATGTTGTTTTCGAATTTCACCGCCAATTATGGAATGCGTCAACGGTCATCGCATCTGCAACAGTTGCCTTGAACAAGTTGGCCGGTGTCCCACGTGTAGAGCGCCCAAACCTAGTTTTCTGAATTTCTGTCTGCAATATCTTTTTTCTGTGTTGACTTTTCCTTGCATGTACGGTTGTGGGAAGCGCGATTTCGGCCATTACCTTGCAAGACATGAAAAATCTTGCAGTTTCACCTTAACCACTTGTCCACTCATGGAAGTTGGGTTGTGTAAATGGCAGGGCATCCAAAAAGAATTCAAGAACCATTTCAGGACCGTCCACTCTGGGAAGTTCAAGGAAAATACTAAACATCAGTAGCATTCGATCAGATCGCCTGCCCGCCTGCAATCTCTATGTAAATGGCGAACTATTCAGATAATGCTGAACATTTTATTATAATTGTGTTGAATTGTCCGTCGTGAGTTCTCATTTCTGTTCATTGAATAGTGCTCAGTTTTAATATTTCGGAAAGTAAAATAGATTGACCAAAATAGACTGAAATGCAATAAAGAAAAATTATAACTTTTTCTCACGTTGCTCATCTTCGTTGTCTAAAATGTTATAGGCTTGGTTCGAATAAAGTTTCACTCGATTTTTACTTCCACTTGGGATTTTTCATGTGAATACAGTTGTGGGAAACGGATTTCAACATAGAACTATGTCTTCTGATCTGAAATAGATATTTTCACAATCTCTTTTTAACAGTATGCAGCTTTCTATTATTTTGTGTGGATTTCCTTTTCCCAAATTCATAGTGGTTTCAAAGTATTTTGTGTTAGAATTGACTCAATACAGTGTATCAGTCATTTAAAATGTTTACACATTATAACTACTTGTTTATTATGATTCTCTTCAGCAGTGAACCATAACAAAAAATATAAAACAAGTTGAACATTATATATAATTGAATCTCCAAATTGTAATGTGAATCTGAAATTGAAACTAACTCAACCCCAAATGGTCTTTTCTATAGTCTCATTTTTACCAAATATCTGATTTGTTTTGTTAACTAACATATTCCACTCTTTTCATTATTTTTGATATATCAACCTTATCTAGACATCTTGAAATATTCGATTGCCGTCATTCTATTCATACTTTCAATGTGAAACAATTATGTATTCATCCAATATTGAATATGCAATTTTAATTTATTTTTTATCTATGTGTTTTTTCATTACATTCATTAGTCTTTTGTTCAGTAAGTCATAGTTAGGTTAGGAAATCTAGCGGTTTGGAGCACTATCATTTTAATAATTCACAATGTTTGTTTCACAGAAATTATATGAGAGATTTGTGTGGAATAAAAACATCATTTGACAAAAGTGTTTTATATTAAATACCTGTGCTGTCAAAATGATTTTTTATCTATTATTGAACATTCAGTTGAGATAAAATATCAGTCTGTTCCGAAAGTTTTGTCCATTTCAATGTCATGTGTTTTTGTTTTTTTAAGAGTTCTAGATCAAACAATCGAGAAAAAAATCTCAATTCAGTGCATTTGTTTGAAAATGTGTGATTTTTGACGTAAATTAATATCTATCAGGTAACCCCCTGTGACGTCACTGAAATTATTATCCGTAATCTGATTATATGAAAAAAAGCCCCTTGTTAGTGCTAAAATGAACACTTTGTTTCATCAAAATTGGCGAAGATGCTTTCGCAATATCAATGAAAGAACAATATTTTTAGTTAGAATTTGACACCGCATTACTCGATAACGAAGCAAGTTAGGGTCATCACCTGAAATTATTGACATCTTTCAGGATACACCCTGTATATGAATGATCTTTCAGAATCACGCGATAGCTGAGTCGGAATATGTAGAACGTTCATCAAACTCGTCAGATGACATCGACTTGGCTTAACTCAAATTTAATTTTAAAATTACCAAATACTTTGACTGGACTTCCAGTCCGAACTAGGAATAAAACAAAAGGATTACATTGTTTTGAAAACTCAATAAACGGTCTCCCAAGTGAATTGAATATGATATGAAACTCTTCAATACTCTTTCTGAAATAACTGATAAATAAAAATATTTCTGAGCTAAAATTTACATCTGACAGAAAAAATAACTGAAAACTTTCGTAACCTCGCTCCACTTATATAAACTGAAGGCAAAACCGCTATTATTTCTCTCTCTGTCAGTTGATTCTCTCGATTCTTTTTGAAATTGTCATTCGCGTTCATTTTGATAGAATGGAATTCATGAAAATCAATGATTCAGAATAAAATTCTCACGAGATTAACGAAACCCAGAAACGAATTCTCAAAAATCATCATGATATGTTCATATCAAAAAGGTCTATATCAATTGATTCAAATGATCCAATTAAATTTAATAATGAAAATATTAAATACCCTCCTAGTGCTAAATTTTTTGATCTCATTCTAAATGAAAATGTATCATGGAGAAAACACTTTGAAACAATGAGGAGAAAAATAGCTTCCATAATTGGAATTTTATTCAGAATAAGAAATGTAGTACCCTAAAATACCTTAAATTGATTTATTTTTCANTACATAGCAGTAATAGACTGCAAAACTTGAAAAGGCGCTTGCTGTCGTAGAGTGTGTACCTTTCTTGGCGAACACCACATATGTTGGGTGCTTCGACAAGAGTAGACATTGAAATATCTCTGGAATTCATATTCAAACTGACTGGGATTCAGAAAACGTCGTGAGGGAAAACGTACAACTGTTATTCAAATGATTTCTTTCAGTACGTTCAACAAAGACAATAATTTGAACAGAATAAATGAAGTATTCAAACGCGTTCAACATTATTCATTGATTTCTACTACATAGCAGAGATCACCATGACTATCACAAAAATCTGATACTTTGGTGTCGGTCAAAACGGCATAGCCAAGAGGCTTAGGCCGATCTCTGAATTCTGTAACAGGAGAACACACGCCTCCAGGAACTATAATACTGTAATTACGTTCAGAAAAAACGATCCTCAGTTGGAACGTGTATAGCTTCATGCTGTATTTATCCTTTATGTGACTCACCGAGAATCTTCTCGACCGCCTATATACCTGCCAGCAACATCTGAATAGGACCCCATGAACATGAATGAAAGAGTAATGAGATCGACGATAATTCTTGAAATCTTTCAATACCCACGTATTTCCAGATTCCAAACTGATCAAGTTGGAATGTTTCATCTTGCAGTGGTCCACGAAGTCAGACTGGATTCCTTCCCATTTGCATCTGATACTATTTTTCAGAGGGCACGGTTTGGAAGCAAATGTACAATACATTTCGTGATTCATTATGGATGTTCCTTTCATACGAGCTCCACAACCGTTGCAAGCATTTTTACAGCTGACTTTCAGTTTGTTGAACAATCGTGTTAGATAGTTGCTTGATCCTAGACATTTTGGACCTCTGCACACAGGACACTCTTCTATTTGGTCGAAACATGATTGACAAACTCGATGACCGTTGTGGCATTCTGCTATTGGTGGTGAAATTCGCGTAAAACAAACTGGACATTCTAATGCAAGGGTGATAAGGTCTTCCAAAGATTCTCCAGAAGAATCTGTAGGATACAATGCTTGTTATTGCAAAGGAAATACAACAGTTAGAATACCCTACCTCTTTCAATACACTGAGCAGCTTTTAAATTGGTCAACTCATCTTCAATGGCTTTCAAACCGTCTCCTAAATCTAATTCTGAAAACTCTTCTCTACGTGCTTCAATCATTTCCCTGATGAATTTGGTCCCTTGATAAATGAATTTCCTCAATCCAAAGATGCAAGTGCTTTCATGATTTGCAACCTCTAGTGCCTTATCTGAGAAAGGACACCCTTCACTGGAAAAGGAACATTTCAATGTTGTTCTGAAACACACATTTTCTAAAAAATAATCTCTTCTATATTTTCTGGGAATTTGGCAAACGGAGCATTTTTCAGATACCTCAATACAGTTGTTACATTCATGATGGCCACGACAACAGTGGATTAGCGGAGGAGACATCTGGGAGAAGCATGATCGACATTTGAGTTCTTCAACTAGCAACTGAACCAGAGTTTTTTCCATGTTGATATCTGAAAATTGATAACTGACAACAGATTAGGAATCACACGTTAAAAGGTAAGACCTCGTTAATCCTTAGCTCACACAAGTTACGACTTCTGAGGGTTGAAAAAGCAATAATATATGTATGTATATGTTTAAAATATGTTTTTTCGTTAACCAGCTGTCGCACCTCGACGAACGACAACCCTCAGAAGTCTGAACTTGTGCGAGCTTAGGACTAATGAGGTCTTACCCTTGAACGTGTGATTCCTAAAACGAAAATTGAATCATAACCAAAAAAAGTTGGGTTAACAGTGATACTGTGATGACAAGATCAGAGAATTAGTTATTGCAACCGCTGCAGAAAACTCGTTTTTGTATTGCCATGGTACGTCCATTACCAAAATATATAGAACAAATGATAATTGAACAACTGCATAATGGAAATTACCATATATGTAGGATATATTTATGAAACATATACTTCTTTTCTATGACAAGATCTACTGCTTGAAGTGAAAATGACTTGGCAATACTGACTGGAGCATTACATCATTTTCGAAATGGTATGATTACCGAAACTAGTCAACAAATATAGAACTATGGTGGAAAATAGACGAAAGTGTGTTTTTATAGTTTTTAAGTGCCTAAGTCTTGATTAAACTACTTACTTTGTCCACGAGGTTGAATGCAAATGGTGGAAATAAACATCAAATATTTTGGTAAAGTTGATTATACAATATTTGTAACAGATTAAAATAATATTACAATAAAAACACTCTCGAAACTTTCAGTCAATATTTGAAATAAGTTGTTGATGTTGAAATTCAATACGACCCAGTGACAGAATAACGAGAATATCGAATATTGAAGTTCATGGACCCTTGTTTCTTATACACCAAGGTCAAAATTTCAACAGTGGTGCCAATCTATTCAGTTGAGGCAACTCAAAAACCAGTTTCACAAAACACCAAGTTGAGATGTATCGTAAATCACCCAAATGACAGTTGTCCTAACTTTTATTTGATTAAAATTGAAGATATATTAGAATATTGAAATTTTCTGAATTTCACAATATGAGAAACTTAGAATTTTGAATAATATTTGAGCCAAAATGTTAGCTTCAATATTATTCAATCAAATTAAAGTTAGGANCTATACTTAGATATACCTAATTTATAACTTTGATACTTGGAGTATTTAGGTATACTATAGTATAATATAGGGATATTGCGAATGTTCGCATTCCCAATTTCGGATTCTCTATATCCGATTTCTTTTGCGTCGGTTGAAACAGGTTGAAATACAGGTTTCTGTGTCGCAGCCACAAGCTAATTCTAATGAAATATTTTAATATTCACACAAATCTATACTCCAGTACTATGATCTACAATAATATAGCGTCCGCGCCTGTGGATATAGTATACTATAGTACTGAAGTATAGTACAATATAGTATTATACTATATGTATTAACGAATGGGGAGGTTATACTCTACTATACTATCCGCATACTTATGTATAGCATTCGTATACTATACTCAGTATATATAGTATGCTATACTATAGTATGATGCGGTCAACTATATAGTTCTATATTATACCACTATAGCATTGTGAAGTGGAGCTCATGAAAAACCGTAAAATCAATATCGATCAAGTGAAGATCGATAACATTGAAGGAAATGTAGATATCACGACAAAAATTAACAAAGCAGAACTATAAAGTGATATCATCCTACTCAAGGAAAAATATCCAATAGCTGTATATACACTGCAAAGAGGCTCATATTCGTACAAAAGAAGAAATAATTAAGAAAAGTGTGGAAGGACAGTAGTACAATCATAATAAGACATTAATTATAACAGTGGAAGCGGCTGGACTAAGAATTTTAGGACCCAGTGACACCTACCGCTTGATGACTTCGACAATTGCGGAACTAGCCTATCGTCACATCCATGCTCAATCCCTGAAGATGGGAAGAAATCAAAGGATGCAATCTTGCCAGGACCACCTTAGGCGACCCTGAGAAGCTGGCGCCGAAGAAATTTCTGGCGATGACCAGGAAAAATCTACGCTTAACAGTAGAAATTCTGACTGACCACTGTCAACTAAGAAAACACCTCCATAATATGGGGATAGTAAACACACCTCTATGCAGGATGTGTGAACAGGAAGATGAAACTGTCAGGCATGTCTCATGCGGAGTTATCGTCAATAAGAGAGTGTATGTTCGGCTAGTCTCCGCCGATATAAAGGAGATATCTCAAAGAGACAGGCTTGTCAGGCCATCAGTGATACCACCAGTACCTTCAGCGGCCATGGAAATCGTTCTAGATCTACCTCCTCTCCACATTTTTCTGAAGAGAGAGGCTAGATGGACTGCATATAGACTTGTGTACATTGCCAGTTGCACAAATCCATTTAATGTAGAGTGCAACAGACTGGTGGTTGACACTGGAAGTCACAGCTTTCTGAAAATGACTTCTGACTTTATGCCTCCAACTGTCAACTGAGAACTGCCTCATAAAGTACTTTCTCGAGTAGAGAGGACTGCAGCCTCCGGGAGAAGGAATTATTAAGAGCTGATAGTTGTTGGTTCACAAATGGATCAAAAACACCTTCCAGTGCATGTGTTTTCAGTCGCAGCCTAGGAACCTATGCGACTGTATTTCAAGCGGGAATTTACGCTGATGAATTGTGTGCGGAGAGATTGGAAAAATCCAACCTCATACACAAATCAATAAAAATATTCTCGGAATTATTTATCGGGTTTAGAAAAAATAGCGTATGCAACTCTCATGTAATGGTTATTAATACACTCGCATATACCATACAAAACTCGCCTTCGGCTCGTTTCGTATCCCGGTTAATGCTCGTGTCTTAATAACCATCATTACATGATCGTTGCATAATATACTATTATGAAACCGACATAGCTGTCAAGCCAATGGTCAATCAATCTTTCAAATGAGGTGAGGGTCAAGTTCGTGCGATTCTGTCACGTCGGAAAATTCAATCTCAAGTTATAAAAATATTTCCACAGGACACTTTCATAAATGCAAAGTTTTTCTTTTCAATGAAGGTTGATTCTTTGTGAATGATATGCGAATAATGTTGAACTAATCCGAAAAAAAAGACAAGTGCTACGTTGTTTTCAATATTTATTAAAATTTCAAAATACATGCCAACAGTTTCTATGAAAATAATTGATTATCGAGATTTCGGAACATTCGAATCCTTTCAGCATTCATTGATTGTTACAGTATAGGAAAGAATACCATCACTGTCACAAAGATTCGGAATAATTGATTGATTTATACGTATATAGCTCCTAGTCGTAATCGGAATACTGAGACTTTTCACAGGATGTGAAAAACCTCCGGAAAGGTGAGCTACACAACCACGTTCAGTCATCAAGATTTTCATATCAAAATTGTATCGTTTCACGCTCCCAATATTTAAGTGTTTCACATAAAATATCTTCAATCCTTTAAACATCTGCCAACAACATTTGAATAGGACACCATGTACATAAATGAGATGGAAATACTTTAGATGCGGATTGAATTTGTAAGTTTTCCACTCACTTTCACTTTTCAAACTGATCACGTCAGAATGATTTATTTTGCAATGATCTATGAGGTCAGTCTGCAAACCTATCCATTTGCATCCGTGACCGTTTGCCAATGGACACGGTTCGAAAACGAAGGCACATGACATTTCATGATCTACAATGGATGGTCCTTTTTGACGGATATGGCAGCCGTTTCCAGAGTTTTTGCAACTTATTTCCAGCTTGTCGAATATTTGCATCAAGAATTCGTTGGTACCAAGACATTTTGGGCCTCGACATACAGGACAATTTTCAATTCTGTGGTAACAATCGATACAAATCCTATGACCGTTGTGACACTCTGTTATCGGAGGCAAAATTCTGGTCAAGCAAACCGGACATTCTAATGTAGATGCTACAATGTCTTCCAGCAATTCTCCAGACGAATCTACGAAAAATCGTTGAAAAATATTTCAATAATCAGATAAAGTACCACCTGGACTGATAAGTATCGGGCCTAACACATAGATGGCGCTATCAAAAATAAAAATATTAACAGAGTCTTGTGCGAAAATGAAGTCACAAAAGCAAAATCACTAAAAGTAGGTTATAACATGAACTGAAAAGAGACATGTTAATAATGATAACTCAATACAAACGTTCAAGATATAAAAACATGGTCAATAAAATGAAATAAATGAATTCAAACTGGGATGAATCAAATCAATGGAGTACCGTCGATATTACAGTTTGTCATACTCAAATAAAATAATCATCGTAGAATTCTGCTAAGCTATAATAAGGGCTCACAGAAAGCAAGTCTTTCAACTCTTTCTTATGAGCGATAAGGTCATTAATAGTTCTTGAAGCTTGGGGAAGGTGATTGAACATTTCTAGAATATTTTTTGAATCTTTAACTAGGGTCGAAGAAGGCAGCGGTAATTCGATGCCGAATCTTTGCCTGGTTTGATACATTGTCTCGTCTGAATTGGTGAACAAGTTCCCATTTTTGAAGAGAAAGCAGATTGTCCCATATATAAATGAGGAGACCACAGTCAGGATTCTGTAAGAAGCAAAAAGAGGCCGATAAGAATCCATAGACTTGGCTTCACATATGCATCGTATTGCACATTTTTGTATCAGTGATACTGATTGAAGGCTTGTGGTAGAACACAAGCCCCGAAAGCCATAGAGATCCTTCTAGATCTACCTCCTCCCCACATTTTTCTGGAAGAGGCTAGACGGACTGCATACAGACTTGTGCGCATTGGCAATTGCACAAATCAATTAATTCAATGCAGAGTGCAACAGGCTGTTGGTTGACATTGAAAGTCACAGCATACTGGAAATGACTTCTGACGTTATGCCTCCAACTGATAATTGCCTTATAAAGTACTATTCCCGAGTAGAGAGGACTGGATCCTACGGGAGAAGGAAATATTAGGAGCAAATAGTTGGGTCACAGACCCAGGAGTTATCTACCTGCCTAGAATAGTCCAGTCATTATAGTAAGTTCACCTCGGAATTCGAGATACCCAGCTGTAAGTCTGTAAATTTCAAGGGGTATCGTGCAT